CTGAATTTGGGAAAATTCAAAATTTCCATAGACCCCATCAACCTATCCAGGTCATCCTATAGCTCTCTAGTGTCTTCATCAGAAATTATTTTACAGCCTAATTTAGTATCACTGGTATACTTATGTTGTTGTTTATTCCTTCATTCACATTCTGATTTTTTTCCCCATTAATGCAAACTTTCTATTGCCTGTCAGTCAGCCATACCTCGACCCAGACGACAATTTCTCCTAGTCCATGTGCAGCTATTTAATCACTTTCCTGGGTGGGACTTTCTGAAAGGCCTTACTGAAGTTCATATATGCAATATCGTAATCTTTATCTTGATTTATCGCCACAAACACTTTAGTGAAAGAGGTTAATAAAATAATAGAACAAGAAATTACAGCAAATTAATCTTTCAAGGTGGCTCACCTGGAGTTTACCTGGAGGGTAAACTCCAGGTAAGCCACCTTGAAAGATTAATTTGATGTAATTTCTTGTTCTATTATTTTATTAACCTCTTTCACTAAAGTATAGTATTGGCAATCAATTATTCCATCAACTTTCACCACAATTGAAATTAGGCTGATTGGTCTATAATCTGAAGCTAAGAACCCATTTCTCGCTTTGTAAGTAGCACATTAGTAGCCATTTCCCATTTTACCCTAATGTTCAGGACCCCTAGAGCTAAACGTGTGTTCTCCACCAAAACGCATGTGTTGACGTCTTAGCTGCTAGGTTGAGTAAGATAAGATTTTGTTCGGATTTTTAACCCCAAGGGGGTTAGCCACTCAGAATAATGCAAGAAAGGCAGTGCGTCATCGAGAGATTGTCTACCTTATTTTCATTGGGGTCCTCAATGTTGTCCCCCAGGATGCGACCCTGTCTTGAGCACTATTAACACGTTTTCCCTATTTTATCTCTTTTTGCCTGGTGGACACATCGGTCGATTATCCTAGGTAATTTACACATACGTTAGTCTGATGATAGCAATCACCTTAACTTGTATAAGTGTACCTAAATAAATTTACATACTGAGCTCCGTGCATCCGTTCCATTTTTCCACTACGAATATTAGTGTAATATCTGGGAAAACCGGTGCTCAGTGGGGACTGACGAAGACCTATTGTAACCTCTGTAACCCAGTTTTTTGAAGATTGAGACACTTATACAACATATGGGAATCTTTGTTGAGGAAACGTTTCGCCATACAGTGGCTTCATCAGTCCAATACAAAACAGAAGGGTGTAAGGAGAGGAGTTTGAGGTAATGAGTCCCTCAGCCTGGAGTCGATGTGTTCAGTCAAATCAAATCAGATCAAATCAAAGTTTATTCTCTATAAGGATTACAATGCGGGATTTACAGATTTTGGTTACTGTGTGGTTTACATGTAATAAAATACTAATTACAGAGGGGGCCACTAGAACACCTAGCATCGCTAGGCATTTCGGGCAAACTTAGATTAATTCTTAACCCTAAATTATTATAAATTGTGGGGTAAGTGGACTAAATACTAGTTTGTGAGTTTAGCAATGTGAATGCTTTTGTTTTAGCACAATACATAGTTTCTATATTGGAGTATCACAGGCAAACTTATGACTAGTTAGGAATCATTATTTTAAGTTTAAGATTCGTATTTCTTTGCTTATAGTCAAATGGGTGAGTGAGTGAGTGTAAGTGTGAACCACCAGGTGGTTTTTATGCAGTTAGTTGACGGGGTGTATCAGGGAGATAAGATGTTTTCTAACGGTAGTTTTGAAGGTGATGAATGTGTCTGCAGTTCAAGAGTTTTCAGGTAGGGTGTTCCAGATTTTAGGTCCTTTGACATACATTGAATTTTTGTAAAAGTTTAATCGGACATGAGGAATGTCGTAGAGATGTTTGTGTCTGGTGTTATGCTTGTGGATCCTGTCACAACTATCAAGAAAGCATTTTAGGTCAAGGTTAATATTGGATTTTAAGGTCCTGTATACGTAGATTGCAGAGTAGTAAGTGTGGATGTTCTGAACAGGGAGTAAGTTTAGATCTATGAAGAGTGGGGGGGGGGTGTTGCCAGGGATGAGATTTAGTGATTATTCTTACTGCGGCTTTTTGATGAGTTATTATTGGCTTTAGGTGTATTGCTGCAGTTGATCCCCAAGCACAAATAGCATAGGCGAGGTACGAATAAATGAGTGAATGGTATAGTGTGAGAAGGGCATTTTGCGGCACGTAGTATCGCATCTTGGAGAGGATCTCAACTGTTTTGGATACTTTTTTTGATATGTGTTGGATATGGGTGCTGAAATTTAGGTTGTTGTCGAGGTATAGGCTAGGAATTTGCCCCATTATGTCTGGCAATTAGAGTGCTGTCGATCTTAAATGTTTAGTTGTGCAGCACCTGCTCTGCACCAAACATAATATAGTAGATTTTGTCAGTGTTAAATGTAAGTTTATTGGTTGTCATCCAGGTTGATATTTTGAGTAGCTCCTCATTAACAATGGTGTTGAGGGTGGCAAGATTAGGGTGAGAGATGACATAAGTCGTGTCATCAGCAAAGAGAATGGGTTTCAGGTGTTGGGATGTGTTTGAGAGATCATTGATGTAAATGAGGAAGAGCAGGGGTCCAAGGACACTTCCCTGCAGAACTCCAGTATCAAGTGGCCGTGTTGATGATGCTGTGTCTTTAATGGTGACATACTGATACTTATTAGTAAGGTAGGATTTGAAATATGCAAGCGCATGGCCTCTTATACCATAGTGGTCAAGTTTGTGGAGTAGGATGCCGTGGTCTACTCTGTCAAAAGCTTTTCTTAGGTCAATAAAAATTCCTAGCGGATATTCCTTATTTTCCAATGCTGTGTAAAGCAGATCTATCATTTTTACAATTGCATCATTAGTGCTTTTATTTTTCCTGAATCCAAATTGACAGGGGTTGAGTATGTTTTGTGCCGTTATAAATGAATACAGTCTCCTGTGCACGAGTTTCTCGAAGATTTTGGATAGCAAGTACAGCATAGTGTTAGGTTAGGTAAAGTTCGACAAATGTTTCCTGACGCGGGTCTTAGTCAGATGATAACCCGCCTTTGGAGCTTTTTTTTTTTTTTTTTTTTTTTTTACACAGGGTTTGACCAAGGCCTTCCGCTGGCTTACCAGTCCACCCTTTTAAAAATTATGGTCATGTAGAACCATTTTTGTTCTACTTCCCCCACTTTTTTTTTTACAGCATAGGGCCGTAGACGTGGCTTATATACTGTAGTCAGGTGAGGCGAATCAGGAGGTGCAGTCATAGTGGTACCATCCACTAGTCTAAGTAGGTCTTCGTCCAAAGGTTGGACAAGGTTGAAGAATTCTTTGTATCAATAGCCCATGATGTTGCAGTGTCTGACAGATTAGATTTACATTTTGCCACTGAAGTGGCTAGTTTATTGTGCACCCCATATCCATCCTGTGGACGGTAGCACGAGAGCATATGGATACACAAAAGGCCTAGGAACTAGGCCCCAAAGGGTTAACATGAATACATATGGATTTATATCTACATATCTATAGTTCACTTATCTGTTACAAGCAAATTTAGGAAATTTGCTTAGTATATCTGGTATCTTATTTTCATTAATAAGATATCTTGACATGTCACATAGGTTATCATACTGTCTGTCTCTGTATCCTCAATAAGTGGACAATTAAGCACATAGTGTTCAAGACAGTGACCATATGCCTGATCATATAATTTACATTTAGTTTGATCATCATCTGCGTGTCTGCCAAACTGCCAGAAGTACTTGTAACCAAGCCTAAGCCTGGCCACTACACCATCAGTCAGTCTGTTCACATTGCACATTGCTCCATGAACATACTTATCTACGTTCATGTTATCATAGTGGGTTATAGATCTACTCAGGCTTCTAACTGCATTCCTATAACAATCATTTCATTATTTACTTCTCTCCTAATATTATTCCTTATGCTAGACACAGTTATACCAAAGTTATATTCTACAATTCTCCTTCTGGATACTCTTCTGGCTAACATATCAACTTTATCATGAAGGAGTAATCCAATGTGTGATGGGATCCATAACAATTGTACATATAATTCCTTTGTCCCTAATTTTTTAGTATCTATACCTGGCTTCTCCAATGAGCATGTTGTTGGAGTCATTATATGAGTCAAGAGCCTTCAATGATGACAGAATCAGTAATGATGATAGAGTCAAGCTCAGTGTCATAGTTAGCTTTAGCGCCATTAGGATTGCAAACAATTCAGTTTGCAGTGTAGACGCCCAGTTGTTAGTTCTTATCCTAACTCGACAAATTTATTATCGTTTTTAACAAGGGAGGTGACAACAAGAGCAGATGCAGCCCTGCCAGAAGACTCCCTGTTTAGATCCATCAGTGTATATAACTTTGTGATAACTATTACTACCAGCTAGGTGAGAAATTTCTACTTGAGCAGTTAGTGTCTGACAGATGTGTTTAAATGGTTAAAAAAAAAAACCGGTGTTAGAAAACACGCCCAATATTTACACTCTTGCCGGGAATCGAACCCGGACACCTCAGCATGTGAAGCGAGAGCTGTGCCACCAGGCCACGAGAAAAGCCTTCACAGGATGAGCATGTAAAACAGCCGCTCTCGCAGTACAACTAAACTAATTAGAAGCATCTCGTATTTTCCGCTCTGAAGTTATTTATTTAACGGTTTCCGTTTAATGCCGGTCACTGAACTCAGATAGGAGTGTGGGCGTCCCGCTCTGCTGAGGTTTCGGAAGGGGGTCCACCTGTCTTACTTAAGATGATTTGTGGCCCTTCCTGCTAAGTGCCCAGCGAACATAATCAGATGAGGACAAGAATCCCAGAAACTATGAGATAAATCTGTCGTTAAATGCTGAGGCGAGAGCGAAACATCTACACTATACTGAAGGCTCGCACAGGAATCCGCTGCGCGGCCATTTCTGGCCAAGAAGTAGCTTCTGTTTTGCCTAGTGTGTTGACACTTATCAGCTGATGCTGGGACTCACTACCTAGTTACATATAGTTACAGTTTTCATTGGCTGAGCCTAGCAAGCTCTGCTGGTGTGGACCAATCAGAACTCAGTGGTGGGTGATGCTGAGCACCCAGCCTGAGCTACACGAGTATACAAGACGCATCACCCGCTATGTCACCTGAACAGTCTAGGATTATTTTCCACTTCGACCTCTTGTAAGATTTCGATTTTGGGGAGAAAGTAAACCTGGGATGGCACCGGTGCTGCCATGAACTATAACAGTGCTGGTGAGTGGAAATTAGTCACATTGTTTCACTGCTTCCTTATTGTACGTTAAATTCTATATAATTTATCCGAAATATATAATTTGCCCGAAATGCTATGCACAACTAAAGGGCTTCCATGTTCTTGTAATATTATCCAGTTTTGTTCAAATGTATAATATGGAAATAAAGTTTGATTGATTTCAAGGGAGGGTCCTTAATGCTGGTAAGGGGCTTTTCATCCAAGAAATTGAAGACTTCCCTTTCCTTGGATTGAACCTGAATGCTTCCCATTACTCAGGCTCAGCATGACCCCTACAGGCTTAGCGTTCCACCATAAATGTAATAATTCCATAATTTACCATACATAAAACCAGCCTTCGGTGGAGGTGCCTTGACGCTGGTGAAGTGCACTTGATGCAAGTTCGGTACGGTACCCTCTAGCAAGCAAGTAACCTTGCGTTTTTGGATTAAACCTCAGTTATTCCCATTCTAACAGGAGCTGTATGTCTTCTGTGGGTCTAGCACTTCCCATGAATAGAATAGTAATAAAAATGCTCGTAATTCAATTTATAGCTGCCTCAGCACACAGCTGAGGGACCAGGGTTTGGTCCCCAGACGAGTGGAAACTTTGACCATGTTTTTCCCTTAAAAATCCATCACTATAAGTAGGTACCTAGTGTTAACCAACTGCTGTGGGGTTGCATCCTGGGAGAGGATTAAAGAGCTCCAATGAATATAAGCCAGACTGTCTGATGACTATTCTTTGAGGGAAAATTTAATAAGAATAATAATAATAATAATGTCTTTAATTCTGCAAGTACATGTCCCAAGGTATACGGCCCCTTGCTGACATCAATGACATACAACTACATAGAAAGCTGCTTGTTATGCAAGCTTTTCCCTGACAAATTGGGTCGGGTTTGTCCCAGGATGCGACCCACACCATTCGACTAACTCCCAGGTACCCATTTTACTGAGGGGGGAACATAGACAACCGGTGTAAAAGAAACGCCCCATGTTTCTACCCTCGCCGGGGAATCGAACCCAGACCCTCGTCGAATGAAGTGAGAGCTTTAGCCACCATGCCATGGGGCAACCATGGGTTACTACCCCTCAAGGTTAATAATTCATATAAAATCTTTTAAGACACTTCCTGGTAGATTGTAACAACACAGGGATCATACAGGCATCTATGTTTCCCCAAAAAACTGTGCATCTTAGGGATTTAAGAATATAGTATATTTGTATGTATAATAATTTTAAAATGAAGAATTGTATGGAAACTCACTGCAACTTAAAGGACCAAAATTATGCAATAGTATAAAACTTTCCAAAAGAATTAAAAAATTGTAACTTTCTAGATGAATTCAGACTCGAATATGTTGTATGCTCAATGTATTTCTGTGAAACAATTTCTAATTTGACTCTTTTTAAAATTTTAATTACAGTGGACCTCGGGTTTTTTTGTTTTTAATTCGTTTCAGAGAGTCTGACGAAAACCAAATTCAACAAAACTAAAGCAATATCTCCCCTAAGAAATAATGCAAGTCCATTTTAAACCCCTTTGACTGTCGCAAAGGGCCCCCTTTCCCGAAACTGTCATTCTATGTTGCAAAATATTAAAAAAAAAAATTTCTCTTTCCCAAAATTTAGATTATGTATTTTACTGAGTGTTTTTAAGCCTAAAAAAAAATTTTGCCATCAGTACTTACCAAGATACAGAGGCGCAAAGTTGGCAGAAAATGAGTAGTGTATGGCAACAGCGGCGAATGCCGCCCACCCGGATTTTTTTATTTACTCAGTTTCGAAGGTTTCTTGTATTTTCCAATATTTTTCTTTTCTAAGTAACTTATGTGGCATGTGAAACCAAAGTAAGGTGCATTGTTCATATACACTCATTGTTTACAACACAATAACTGAACAAACATTATCACATTAGTTTGGTATAAAACTTTTTTACACAAACAAACAATACAAACATTGTTTATTACTATGTTTCATAATATATAATATTATAAAATATATATATATATATATAAATATATATATATATAATTATAAAATAATAATTATATATATATATAATTATATATATATATATATATATATATATATTTAAAATAATTATATATATAAAATTAATTTTTATATAATATATAAATATATATATAATTATATATATATAATATATATAATTAATTATAATATATAATATAATATAATATATTATATATATATATATATATATATTAATATATATATAAATAAAAAAAATTTTATATATTATATATTATATATATTTATATATATATATATAAATATAAATATATTTATATAAATAATATATAATAATATATATATATATAAAATATATAAAATTTTTAATATATAATATATATTTTATATAATAAATATATATTATGTATGTATGTACATCACTGAACACTTTCCTAGAACTGCTGCAGCTTGTGGAACTCTTTGAAACATGGGTATATGCAGAGGCACTTGACACCCTCACACATAAAAGAGTGTCTCTGCATGTTTGTGGGCGTTTTGTGGTATGTCCACATACAAAACACCTTTTCTGACCACTTTTCTTAAAAGCAGTAGGAAGCAGTTGTATGGGGTAGTGACCACCAGGCCTCAAACGAGATGGCGTGTGTTGGTAATTTCGTGGGCGATGGTCTATTGCAGGTGTTGCTCCTTGGTACTTGGCGATTATTTGTCTGATGACTGACAAACAAAATTCACCATATTTTGGTTTGTTGTTGGTCCTCAACTTGTATATGTTATAAGCATTTAGCATAGAAATATCAACAAGATGGAAAAAAAGTTTTATATACCACTTATAACTCTTGCGTACACAATCAGCAAACCCAATCTGCATGTCACATTTGTCCACTAAGCGCATATTGAGGTTGTAATCCATGACCACTGCAGGTTTTAGAATGGGTTCATTGGTCTCTCTACTGTGCCTGCCAGTGTGTGCCATTTCGTTTCGGTGAACTGATGTCAACAATGTGACATCACATTTGTCATGCCACCGAAATGCCATGATGTCATTGGCAGCAAAGGCTTGCACCTCACCTCTGCGAGTGCCAGCGTTGAACCTTGGCATATATTTACGATTACCACGCACTGTGCCACACACGTCTGTCAGGTTCACTCACAAGAAATCACTGAGTATGGGGCTTGTGTACCAGTTATCAGTTAATAATATATGCCTCTTACCATGATATGGTTCCATCATTGTTCAAACCACATCACCAGAGATACCCAATAACTTCCTGGTATCTCTCAATGTATTACTGCCAGTGTACACAATGATATCCAAAACGAGACCACTTTTGCAGTCACACAGTACAAATAACTTTATACCAAAGCGTTTCCTCTTGCTTGGTATGTATTGCTTGAATGAGAGTCTTCCCTTGAATAAAATCAAAGGCTCATCAATAACAAGCTTCCTGAAGGGATAAAAATACATGCAACGCTTTTGTTTCAGGTACATAAACACATTCCTGATCTTATATAACCTGTCGCTTCTGTCAGGCCTTGTTTTGTCTGAAAAGCGTAACACACATAACAGTATCAAGAAACGATTCACACCTATAATGTCACTAAAACCTGAGGTTGAAATCAGGCGTTCTGTTGCCCAGTATGTGGTGACAGTGTGCTTATACACATGTGGCATAAGCATTATTGTGGCAAAAAACAGGTACATCTCTGCCACAGTTGTGTCCTTCCACTGGTGTAGACGTGATCTTGGCGAGAGAATTGTATTTGATATGGTGTACTCATAGTATGTGTTGGTTTCCCTGACAATAATGTCCATCAGGGGTTCATCGAAGAATAACTGAAAGCATTCCAGTTCAGTAGCATTGTTCCCAAGTGTACACGATGGCTGTATTCCACTTTGTGTTTCATCAAAGTCATGGGGACTGGGAACAAACTTTGTCACCTTGCTACCAATCCCAGATGCGGTCTGCTGGTGGGTTCTGGATATTGAAATGTGGTTGTGCAGGTTGTGGTTGTGCAGGTTGTGGGAGTGTGGGGTTGGGTGAGGCTGGTTGTGCAGAGTCAGCAGCGTGGGTAGTAGCGTGGCCCGCTGCCAGTGCCACATGACTCATGCCACCATCACTATCACCACCACCACCTGCTGCCTCACTCACATCATTCATACCCATCGTAACAATATCGCCATCTTCACTATCAGGTCGTGGTGTAGGGCCACGGGATGTGCTCCAAGATTTACTCCTTCCCCTTGGAACAGCATATGAAACACTACCAGACCGCATGCTATGTCGTATATATTGCCGCTTCACTGGGGAATATTCACCCTCACTGTCACAACTAGAACTGCTTTCAGTGACTTTGAAATCACTATCACTATCACTGCTCACACCTGAGTCTTGTACACGGGCAAATACTAGTTTCCTCTTTTGTCCTAGTACAGGTGAACGTGAACGTGAACGTGAACGAGCCGGCCCAACACCAAAGGTGGAAGGTCATGGGTCATCTGGGCTTTCATCACTAATTACGTTATCCTGGGCACTTTTTTAGGTCACACTCGCTTGAAAACCATGGAATTCACTTTCACTTTCACTTCCATCGCTATTAGAGCTATCACTTGGGAACAAAAGACCTCCAGTCCGCCAAGGAGTGAAGTACTTCTTACCGCAAGGCATGGTGAAAATGGATTACCAAGATGGCATTCCCACAATGCACCACTGAGTCCCAGATTTTTTTCACAGGGTGCACACCCACCACTCAGACCCATTCTCTCTCATGTAGGCCTACCAGCTTTCTCCCGCTTGATTTGAAGCCGCTAGAATTTACAGGTATAAATACGTCAGAAACAGTGGCGCGTAAGACGTATATATACGACGTAAACAGTCAAAGGGTTAATCTGTTCCAGACACCCAAAAATATTAACAAAAAATACATTTTATAGAGAATAACTAGTTTTACATACAGAAAACAATGAAATAAATATAAAGCACTAATTTTAATAGATAAATGAA